GTCTCACTGCCAGAATTAATCAAATCCCTTATCTGCGCCCTAAATGGTCTCTCAGCCTGCCAGGTCACAGGAAAAGCTCCAAAAAATCAAAGCAACAAATTCCAAACACAATATGCCCTCCCTTTCCCTTGGCTAGAGTAGGTCTTTTCATATGTCTTACCGCATATCTTAAACAGAGTCCCCCACCGTATATGCCACCATAGCAAGCCACGCTAAGCCTGAAGAAGCCCTAAACGATGAAACAGAAGCCATTCTTGGAGTGACTATCCAAATTCAAGCTACATTGGCACGCAGCAAGAAGTGAGGTCGGCTTCTAGCAGACTTGCAGACTAATGAGATTTTTTCGTTGAGTGCCACACGCTTCAGGAAGGAAGGAAATGGTACCTAGTGAGGGTGATATTCTGCTGCTGTTTGGTAAGCCTTCCAGAGGGATAGAGAAAGCTCTAACTTAAACCTGTCATGGTCGATATTGTTGCCCCAAGTAAATGCTAGCACCAACAAGCTCATGAACTCTAGACCTTCGACCCTAAACCCCAAACCCTAAATCCTCAACCCAAAGCCCTAAACCCTAAACCCGAAATCCTCAACCCAAAGCCCTAAACCGTAAATCCTAAACCCTAAATCCCATTCCGATTCCCTTCTCAAGTAAATCAGGAAGGGCAGGCCTGCTGAGGAAGTTTGGGGCCATCTTGTGCGTCCCGTAAATTCAAAAAAACAGCTCGTGACATAAGATTATAGTACGGGTTTAGAGTTATAAGGTTTAGGGTTTAGGGCTTCAAGGTTTAGGGCTGGCTATAGGGCTTAGGCTATAAGCTGCTTCTGGTAACTAGTAGAACCCCGAAACCCTAGTACCCGGACTCCAACAACAGAACGCCCAAAATGTGTTTTTTGTTCTCCGCACCGCACCAGTATAGTCTGTGCTTCTGCAACGCGATGGTGGCCCGTCTTAAGTAGGTGGTCCCCCTCACATACGCAACTTAATTGGAATCGGGTTCGGGGGTATGTTCTGTTGTCATGGCGCGGGACTGATACGGGGATAGTGTTGGTAACTCTTTCGGCTTCTACAATTTGGGACGACAAAAAAAAAAAGGACTCTAGTCCTTTTAGGTATTCCTTTCGGACAGGGACCCTTTGATTTCGGTTTAGGGTTTTGCGTCTTGGGGCCCTACATTACCCCCCAAGCGTGAACACTTCCACAAAACCAAGCGCGTTTGCCCTTATTCGATGACTCCCCCATTAACTCACATGAGCTCACATAACAACGGCATTTCTCAAAATCCAGGTCCCAACGTAATCTTCAAGTTTAAGGTCACAAGTGTTCGATTAATAGGGTGCGACATACATACATATACATATAGTAGTTTCCCAAAGTAAGGGACCCCAATATAGACCCCAAAACACTATAATCCTTGTTCTGGGGACCCCCAGAAAGGTAACCCCTCATTTTGGGAAACTCCCATGTATCATATTCGCAAAAAACCCTCAAGCAACACTACACCCCAAACCCTATGTCTGGTTCCTCACAAGCATGCTAACTTCACAAAGTATAGCTTCAATTCCTCAATGACCCAGAAACGTCCATATCCATGCCGAAAATCAAGGGGAATTGCTGTATGCAAAGATGATCCTTCAGTGGAATTCTGGGTAAGCCACGGAGCTGGATTAATTGAAGGCTTCCCTCCAGAGTACAAGGGAAACCTTGAATGGGGAAGCTTTCAAGGTCTCGGGATGAAATTGGTATGGGGCCACAACAATACCATCTGAGCTTGAAATCCTGTTGGAAGGCTTCGGAAGACTTCATGCAGCCCAGATAGGACCAAGGGGCCCCGAATTTGGGAGTTTGGGTCTGGGAGTGGGTAGAAGGGCACCACCTTGCGGCACCATGTGCTACACCTCGAAACGAGTCCTACATTAAAAGGATTGACAGGGTCCGCCTCCCGCTGCAGCAAGACAACTTTCTTGCTGGTATATGGGACTTGGCGTAAATTACAGTTCCCTCCAAAAAAGAAGGAACTTGCGCTAAACTAGGAACCCCACTAGTATAGGGACCCGCATCACAATGAAATCTGGGTACAGTAATCCCCATATACTTAGTTTTTGGTCCTGCAAGTAAATCAGCACGCATGCCCATAATAATTTTCAAGGGAGTCGATTATCCATATGCATATATATATATATACATGTCAATCCCATATATGGGTACCTGAAGGTCCCCTCAAACCCCGGGTACCAACTTGAGTAGGGTTGTTTTTGGCGGTTGAACTTGGTAAGATAATATTCCTTATATCAAATACTTTACCCCAAAGGGAGGATATAATCTTGCTCTATAATGGTTACCATAGTATCCCCAAATAACATACTACTCACTTGAGGTTTCAACCCAGAGCCCTTTTATTTTACCTCTCAACTACCACCTAAGCTGGCACATCCTTCTTGCAGGAACCAGGATAGTGAGAGGAGCTTGGTAATCCAATCAATACATGTGACACCCTTATCATCATGTGATATCTACAGGGTCGTGTCTTTCAGGGCTGGGTTCTCAAGACCCTCACATTATAAAAGCCCTGCAGCATCTCTGTTGCGGCTCTTTGCTTGCACAAGCTAGCCAGTTTGGAGACTTGAGGGCGTTTACAAATCAAAAGCGCGCTCCGTCTCAGTGGATATATCTATAACATTCTGTAAGGAAAGCTATACAGCCCTAAACGATCCGACATTCGACGCATCTACACCACATTGATTGAAGCCATGGGCATTCATGCTGTCAACTCCTGTGTTTGACATGGTCAACTAGAATGAATACTGAGGTACACACTTGCTGCCCAGAAGCTTTGACTGCAAGTCATCCTCAATAAGCAGGTTGATGCATGCTGATGAGATTGATGAATCTTTGAAATTGCAAGTCCTAAGCAAAATCAACTCTATCCCTTGGAGGTAGCTCCAGAGACACTCAATTACACACAATTCCTCTGGGCTTGCCGGGCAGCAACTCTCCCCCGAATTTATCTGAGAGCCACGGCAACTCACATCCCAAACCAGAAACGCACATGCTCCACGAAAGCTCCTGTGACCCTGAATCGTGAAGCCCAAGGGCGTTCTCCCTAAACTTCAACGTCACTACGAGCGCAAATTCCTCAGCGGGAAAGGCATGTCCCTCGGCATAGGTGGGGCTGCGCATAACTTGGGTCCGGTCTCTATACGGGAAGGAACATGATCCATGAAGAAGGACCCCCCAAACAGGGACCTTCGTTCAGAAACAGGCTATGAAAAACCCTAGTTCTGGCACAGGCCCAGGTTGCGGCAATGACCAAGTGTCACCGCTGCTGTGGCAACTCAGCGCGCAAGCTTCAACTGCCTTGCATTGGGCTCTATACCCAGGACTTCCGCAAAACCCTTTAAGGGGTGTTGGATATCCTGGAACTGGGTGTCAACATCGCTTTGTGCAGGGTCGTGCACATACTGACGTACTGGTAACACACGGACTGCAATGGGACTGTGCGAGGGTTCTCCTGGAACCTGGCTAGTTTTGGCGATTCCTCCCACTTGAAGATCTGCTTCTACATGGCGTGTTGGTGGAATAAAGCTCCCTCAGTTTTGGGAACAATGCGGGTGAACGTGTCGAACAAACAAGGAGGTGGCTATGTATGAGACCCATATTGTACTGCTGAGGCATTGTACGTGATGGGGTTAGTGATGTGGACAGAGCGTGCTTGTGTAAGACCGGGCTCAACTTCTTGCACGCGCGTTTCTCAAGGGTACCCGC